GGTCAGACATGTGCAAGCAGGATCATGGAGCTTAGTGGAACCACTTATGTAAGTGAAGTTATAGATGAGTGTTTATTTGCAGGATTGAGGTTTCCAGAAATCTGACAAGAAAAATGCAGAAGCAATTTCCATTATAGCTATTTTTTGTTAATGTGATTCTTGGGAATACTTGCCTCATACCCAAAAAGTAAGTTACATAAGAATAAGAAACCTGAAAACTCTGAAAGTGGAGAGTTTATTTGGTCTTCAAGTTTTTAATACTTCTTCAGAACAGTCTAGAGAATAGGCAAAAAAGTATTACCTGTTTTTCACAAACAAAAATATTTCACATTTTTTCCAGAAAAGTAATTGGTAGAAATTATTTACTGGCTTTACCACAGACAATGACTTGTGTGTTCACAGTGGCCTGGTTTTTTAATATTTTGTGCTACTTTTTCCACGAGGAGACAAAAAATAGGTCTCAAATGAAGTCACACTGCAATTACATGGAATTTAGAGCAGACTTGTTTCATAAACAGTGATAACAAAATGATAATTCAAGTTCCGTATTAAACTGAGATTCTTAAATAAAATGCATGTTGGATATCCAAATAGCCAAATACAAGAAAAGCACTGATCTGTCGGAATGAGTCCAGATGAAGTCACTAAGTTAGTCACAGGGCTGAAGCACGTCTCCTGTAAAGACAGGCTGGGAAAGTTGGGATTGTTCAGCCTGGAGAAGAGAAGGCATGGGAAGAACTTATAGCACCTTCCAGTACCTAAAGGGGAGCCTATGAGAAGGCAGCACAGGAAACTTTTACAAGGGCATGCAGAGATAGATCAAGGGGGAAAGGCTTTAAACTGAAAAAGGACATATTTAAATTACATATTAGGAAGAAATTCCTTACTATAAGGGAGGCACTGGAACACATTGCCCAGAGAGGCTGTGGACTTCCCAGTCCATGGAGGTGTTCAAGGCCAGGCTAGATGGGGCTCTGAGCAACCTGATTTAGTGGAAGGTGCCCCTCCCCATGGTAGAAGGGTTGGAACTGAATAATCTTTAAGGTCCCTTCCAACCCAAACCATTCAATGGTTCTATGATATATCTCTAAACTTCATTAAGATATTAATCCACTTCATCTTGACAATTGTTTGATGAGTGTATGAATTTATTTTTTTTCCTGTATCTAACTCATTCTGGAATATATAGTGCCATGAACATGGAACCCCAAAGAGTATTCTACACTGAGCTGCATTTCATAAAGTATAGCTTTGTCATCCACTAATGGCAAATGCTGACTGTGTGGAATAGTCATTGCCTTAGAGAATTAGGCATGACATAAAATCTAATCATCAAATATTTGAGCATTTTTTCACACACAGAGGCATCATGTGAACACTAGTTATAATTGGAGATGTAAGTGTATTTAAACTTATCAGACAAGATACTTCTAGGTATATTCATTTATTAGGAAAGCAGATATAAGAACAATTTGTCAGGAAAAGTGACTAGTACTGCAGCATATATTATGTCACATCAGTGAACTTATAATTTTTCTTTCACAGAGCACAGGGTGAAAATATTTGAAACAAAATATGCCAGTAGTCTCACAAAGAATTGGAATATATTCAGAAAGAATATTAGGGATACATAGCTACTTAGCTAATTTTGAAAAATGACCATAAGCAGTTTGACAAGTAAATCAAAATTCTAGCTGTCTCAGATTGATCCACAGAAAATGATCTGGCACTGATTTAGTGGCCCTAGTGCTTTATGTGGAATCCTTGCTGTGTCCATAAAATATTGCTAGTTCAAAATATTGCTAGGCCAAAAGCAGTTCTTAAAAATGTCAACATTCCTAGGATTTTTTTTCTTTTCCTTTTCCAGGCTAAAAAAAAGTAAGACAGCAGTTCCCATTATTAGTGAGATTACATACTTGTTCCTGAACAGTCAAAGTATCTGGTGAACTAAATCTATATCTAACAACTATACACAACACTCAATCCACAAGCAAAATTATCAAAGTAGCTCTTCTGCAAATTTCCACAAGCTCTATTCTTTTCTGGTTCTTGTCCAGGTGGAAAGTGCTATAGTCAGTCCAGGATGTGAGCTCTTTTGCACAGCAGCCTTCAGTCAAAGCCTTTGACTTGAGATGTAAAAGGTGGTCAACTTTACCTCCCTGCAACACACCCAAATTAGCCACACAAGGTTTTTTCAGCATTAAATGTGCACAGCTTGAGTTAGGCAAGACCTCAGTCTCTCCTAAAGCAGAAGCAGAGCATCACTAATGGAACACTACAGTGTAGAGTCTACGCAAGGACAGCAGCAGATATTGAAAAGGACTCTTAAGTGGACAATTTCAACTATATGTGTTTACTTATAATCTAATTTAACTATCCAAGTAAAAGATCGATCTCCCTAATTCCTGAGGAAAATGGACAAACCTTTTTCCAGGGATTCAGTGTAATGTCATTGTTCTGAATTGTTCCAAGGAAGTATCTCTCTTTTATCACTGTTCACAGAGAAACTAAACTAGGGAGCTGAAATTCTCATGCAAACCCTCCAGGTCAGCAGTAAATTTAGGCAAAACAAATAATTTAACTTTGCTCATGCTGTTTGCAAGGAGTCTGCAAAATTCTTTGGCAAATTTAAGACACCTATTTGAAACACAATTATGTTTGTCTGTAGTGTGCTGCCTTCCTGTTCTGGGCACAGACTTAGTAAATATCTGTAAGTCCCAGAAAATGGTCACTGTGTCTAGAACAAAGCCATTCCTTTGGTATGCATTGCCCAATGCACAGTGGCACTGGCAAATCTTGAAATGTATCTGGTGGGTTTCAGCTGTCATTGCTCTTGCAATAGGTCTGCTGTGTCAGGACTGCAGTGCTTGCTATGCAAAGACAGTTTTGTGCCTCCAGGCAAGCTGTGAATGCACAGCCCAGCTCATATGTCAGACTTTCAGACCTGCTACCCACAGCCATACTTTTTTAAGTAAAAGCTTTATAGTTTGCTCCACTGTGTCTGAGATTATCACCATCACAGGCACTTGATGAACACGTCACTCTAGAAGAGGTACCAAGAAGGAAGTGATTAGTTTATAAAGGGTGCTGCTTTACTCTGCTTAAACCCATCCTCAGAGGATAATTTGAGAGGAGTCAAATGTGATAGTCCTGAAACAATGCTTCCCTGGGATGAAATGAATATATGAATACAACCTTAAAATCTGAAAGACACATGCACAAAGACTTGATTTACCTGCACTAACCAAAATCTTGAAAGAAGTTTAGTGTATTCTGAAATAGACTTTTCTGAGAAAGATATTTCTATTGACAAAATATTACAAGGTATCTTATTTGCAGTGTTTCTGAATGTTTTCATACCTAGGATTTTTTTTTAAGGAAAAATCTACTACTTTGATTGCCTGAAGGATAAACATACTCCCTATGATGTGTGGAGGCAAAAATCCCTTTCTTGTCTCATGACTGTTGTTTACTTCAACAGTAATTTTATAGCAGGCTGGTAAACTGTATAGTGAACAGTGATATTTTCCAGACACATGCTGGTAGGAAGCAGAGTTGTTAATACTGTTGAAATAGGAGTTGTTTTTTCTGGCTTTTCTCAAACAAAATTTACAATCCTTCTAAGGGAAGACAAGAGCTGCTCTGTATTTCAACTGTGCAACTTCCATTTTAGATTAAAATAAAACCAAAAATGCATAAATGGAGAAAACCTGTTCCAAAGAGATAGAGAATATCATGTGCCTTGCCAATAGAAAGTTCCTTTTGAAGTAAAATCACAGAAGAATACAGTATATTAACTAAATCTTAAGAAGGGGTAGAAAAATATAAAAAAACCCTCACATTTTGGACATACAACACTGAAAAGAAGAATGTGACACCTAAATTCCTCTGAGGAGTTGCTTTCATTCTTTGTAGACATTCCCAGAATAAAGATTATATTGTCTATCATGGTGGAGTTTGCAAACTTGGCACGCAGAGCCATTGAGGGTGAGTGATCTACTTAATCATTTTTTTTCCTAAAATAAGTACCACAGAAATATTGTTAATTTCATTATTCTTATATTACCCAATTATACATTTTTCAAGCACCACAGCATTCTCAGTTATGGCAAATCAATGGGATATTAATATGCTTTATACAATTCCCCTCAGCCAAGCTAAAAGCACAATTTTATGCTTAAATCTGTAATTCTTCCAAAACGGACCTCAGTCTTTTTCTTATTATTTGTTTATGCTACAGAAGTCTAAGAAAAAGCTGACCCTTATGCATACTTTGCTGAAAATATGCATATGTGATTTTTTTTTATCCCAAGTGAAAATATTATTGTGGCAGATATTTTGCATGCCTAACAAGGAAAAATGTTAAAATGGAAAATATGCAATGAATATTTTATTTAAGGACTCTGAATGAAAATGGCCGGTTCTGACTGTTAACATCTAAAACTAGAAAACTATGGTAAAAGTGATCATTGTTACTGCATTTTCTTAATCTGCAAACAAGAAAAAAGGGACTTTGTAATGAAAAGCAGATATCAATTGCTTGGTAAAGCCTTACATTTTGGGTGAAAAACTTGAAAATACTTTCAAGTGATTAAGAAAAACAAACCTCATTGGAATTGGTTTTTATCATGAGCTTATTTTCTCATATTTGCACAAAACTGACCCTGCAGCTGTGTTATTACATGAACCTCTTATTATAGTGGAGTTCATATCTTAAAAAGAGAGGAGTCTGAAATACACCTAATGTCTGCAAGCAGACCAGGTGTCCTCAGGTTCAGAGCAGGCATGAGAAGATGCATGTGAGAATTTCTATTTCAAAACAAACTTATCTCCAAAAGTGTTTCTTTTGTGTCTTAGTGCTTGGGGTGGGGTGGGGGCTGGGGGGAGGGGTGGTTGGTTTTTAATTATTATTTAAAATGCAATAAAATTCAACACACATAAGGAATCAGCATTGCTTCAGAAGAAGTAGTCACAGCTGAAGTAATACAAAATCCCACTTTATAATTAAGGTAAATGAAATTCCACTCAGCAAAGCTGAAGTCTGATTGTACGGAAACTTGGGAAGTCACATTTTAATAAATACCAGGCTTTTAAAAATATACCTAACCCAATTATTTGTTTGTTCAGAAAAGAAGGAAATTATAGCACTCTCACAACAATTATTTGAAGTAGTTATTCCCCAATGCAATGCTGCATTGCTTGTGGTATCATGTTCTAGAAAGAGATTTAAACCAGAATTTTAGAGATGCCAAGGAACCTTTTTAAAGCATTCTGTCCAAGTCCTTTACTGCTTTCATAAACTTGTGTTATCATACTAGTAGAGATACATGACTTGAAGGCAAAAGGCTCTGTAGTGAAAAAGGCAAGAAATATTTTGTTAAGGTGACATAAGGATTTGTGGAGACCAGAGGCTAGGAGATATTAATAGAGGAATCAACCTTTCAGTGCTGAATTAGTGAAGTGGTTTGGAGAAGCCGAATTAACACACAACTTGTGGAAATATGTAACATTTTTGGCATAACTCAGGAGGTAGAGCCAATGAAGGGTGTTCAAAAGCACAGTGGGAGGAAGACCAGTATTGCAGAAGGAGTAAAAAGGGACACAAGAAGAACAATATTGCATTTGTCATTCAAAATCCTGAGATTAGAACAAAAGCCTTATGGTGATAAGGCTTTGCACTGGCGTCATGGCACTGAAGCCATGAAGGGGACCTTCAAGTATTTGAGCATCTTTATGCTGCTACAGAGAGATTCTGAGAAGTCTCCAACACTTTTACACTGCTTCTGACCATCTTCACTGGTAGCATTCTAGCACTGTAATATCCATCTTGGCAATTTTGTACAAAAGTCTTTTTTAATGCTACCTGGTATTTCTAGAGAGCAGTAAATTATAGCTGCATTTCCCAGACATTCTTAGTTTGCTGTGAGGATATTCAGCTCAACCTGACCTATATAATTATACCATTTATAAATTCACAACCCTTTAAAAAATGATGAAAGTCTTTTGGACTGAAAAGTATCACTGAAAGTGATGCTTAACTTCAAACACATAAGTAGCTACAGTCTAACAAAAATGCTGTTTTTATCCACAGGTACCTGAGGTGTTACTACTGGGCAGTTCGTAGTTTAATCACCATTGGTGGCCTTGCAGAACCACAAACGTTGTTTGAGATCATTTTTCAACTGCTGAATTATTTCATGGGTGTCTTTGTCTTCTCCAGCTTAATTGGTCAGGTACATAAAATTTAATAACAAGTTAGATTCAGATTACTGTAATGTAGTGATAATATATTCAATTTAATGGAATTTAGTCCTGGGAAAAAGTTTTGTTTCCATCCTCTATTTTAATGTCAAACATACTTATTTTTCTGATAAATACATGTTTTTAATCAGTTCCCTGTTTTGCAGCTCTTTTGCACACAAGCTGATTAGAAGCCAAGACTCTGAAGGACACAGATGACCTTTGAAACTGCATAATTCCTTCTTTTTTCCTTACTCACAGCCAAGGAGACAAATCCTTGACATTCACATTATACTGTTAAATCTGAAATAAAAATTGTGATTGTTGAATAAGTCATGCTCAGTACTACTACTGATAAGATACTGTTAATGGAAATCCCATTCTTTTTGTCAAACTGTAACTCTGATCTCTTCCACAAATTACAATATATTTGACAATCTGAAAAGTAATTGGTTTCTATTGCTTTTGGTTCCCATTTGGCAGGATAGAAATAAAAAAGCCCATAGCTCAGCAAATCAGTTATATTTCTAAATGAACATAATTGAAATATTTATGGTTTGTAACTATTAAACTTGGGCTTTAGATCCTAGGTTTTAAAACACATTGCCTACAGAAAAACAAATGTTGAAGTTTCTGAGTGAGGCTGTACCTTATCAATTTCTGTAGAAACCATTCCAGAATTTTTGATTTGTGCATGCCTGTTATAAAATTATTTAAAAAAAACCCTGAATTAAAAGTGAAATTTAATTCTTATTTTGAATACAACATTTGAAAAGTTCAATCCAGCAGCTAGAGATTGCATATATCTCTTGCTCTTGGCAACTGCAAGAAGGGGTAACTGTCACTGAAGATACTCTTCCTTATATGATTTTAAATTCTTCCATAAACCAAAATTACCAAAAATAAAACAATATATACATATAAAATATTTCTTCTGGAAAAAATATTGAATTCAAGTATACATAACTAAATTTCAGAGTTTGCATATTTATAATTTTTCCCTAAATTGTTGTAACTATCAATAAAAGCCTCATTTCCCCAAGAAGATTCTACAGATGACTTTTTGTAACCAGTGTAGTCATTTGCGGTCTCAAACTTTAAACATTAACAGAGAAGCTGCTTCATTGCAGTTTGTTTGTTATAATTCCTGTTTACAAAGAACTCTTAAAATTATTGAATTATTCCTCATTTAGCACACTTGCCTAAAAATTGTTACTCCCATTGCAATCAATTGCATTTCTGTAAGAGAGCAAAACTCAGCCTATGGCACATTAATCCTTGGCATCTGCCAGATGAAGCCATTCCACTAAAATCACATCTGAATACTTATTCTTTTGAAGAAGAAATGTCTATGAACATTAACTCATCCACTTTCTAAAAACTGATTCACATTTGAGTTGAAATGTTAAATTATGTTCCTGCACTAAAAACTTTAAGGTCAACTTTCAGCTCTCAGAGCTTAGGACTGATCTCAACTATTTAAACAGTGGCACAGTCTTAGTTCTAGTGGTGTCAGATGATTCTATTACAGAAATTCAGCCCAGTTTGCTTTACTTCTGACTTGCATTGCATGCCAAATACAGAGTAGCTTTACTATGCATTTTTAAGAAAAATATTATCTATAATTTTCATCCATGTCCAGGAATACAAGACAGAAGCAATTCCTCTAAAATCATATTACAATCAATCAGATTAAGTCTGTAATGTTTCTTAAAAAGTGGATGAAGCACCAAAACATGCAGCCGAATGCATGTTTAAATTTTTATTAAATAATTAAATGCAAAAAGTATTATATTATTTTATAAGTTAATGACAAGATATTAAAATCAAGACTATTTTTTTTTATGGAATGTGTGGTAACAACAATTTATTTTTGCAGATGAGAGATGTAATTGGAGCAGCAACAGCAGGACAGAACTACTTTCGATCCTGTGTGGACAACACTGTCTCCTATATGAACACCTATTCTATTCCAAAACTGGTGCAAAATCGTGTTCGAATGTGGTATGAATACACATGGGACTCTCAAGGAATGCTGGGTGAGGATTTCCAATTCCAATTATGCAGCATGTCTGATTGAGAGCAGGTGTACAGTTACAGATATAGGGTGAAATTCACATTTCTCCTTTTCTGTATTGCATGTGGAAAGTCAGAGGAGGCTGCTAAACTTACTTGGGAAAATAAAGAAACTACAAAGCAATATGGTTCTTACTACTTCACTAATTTTATTCATTAATACAATGGTTTGTTAATAATTTTGGACAAGATTAATTAAGCATCTTAGTAAAAGCATATTAGCTGCTTCCTTACTTGAACTCATAAGTGTTAGAATAACTCCATTAAGTTATTTTTGCTCATTTTTGTGGACATTCCTTAATTTGTCTTTTTTTTTTTTACAGATGAATCAGAATTACTGGAGCAGATGCCAACCAAAATGCACTTAGCTGTTGCAATTGACGTGAACTTTGCAATTGTCAACAAAGTCGACTTATTCAAAGCAAGTAGTTTTATGGGAGAATGCAGAAATATGTGGTACTTTGTACAGAAACTTTGTTTTGTGCATCTTGCAACACTTAAGTGAATGTTTGTTGGTGTGCAAGGCAAAATAAGTCAAAGAAATATCTCAGTGAATGGAGACATCAAAACAAACCCAAGTGCCTGCATTTGGATTTGTGTCAAGAAACAAATGAGATTAGAACAAAATCTTGTTATGACAACATCCTATAGCTGATGGTATGGTCAGACTGTGAGTGAGTTCGGAGTATAGCTAATCTCAACAGTCAGAGAATAATCTAATTTTTGACACAGTCCACCTTGCTGTGGCCACCCAGGTCTGCCTGAGAGATCACCCATGCTTTGTGTTCTGGCAACGTAACACTGGTGTAGAAAAAGCTGCATCATAGTCAGTTTTTGTGTGAAGGAGCTTTCTCTTTACTTACCATGGTAGTTTTCCAGAGCTACAGTTTAAATGTGTACTTAAAAATGGATTTCTGAGACAAAAGCAAGGAGACACTGAGTTTTTAGAAGTCTACATAGAAAATTTTCTTGTTAGGATATTTGCAAGAAATCACATGATACATGTGTATAAAAATTACATGGCTGTACATTTTTTTCTACATCTGCTGAAGATATAGAATTCATAGATTCATATGAGCATTTGCTAGGATCTGTTGTTTTCCCCTGGACTGGTTTAAAAAAAAAACAAACCATAAAATCCCCATAAAAAACACGTAAAACTCTGAACATAATACTAACTGAGCTTCCTCAGAAAATCTAGATGTAGAGAAACTCACTTTATAAAAAAATGAAAATATATTCAACCCATAGAGAATTTCACACATATTTGAAATAACAACTCTTTCAGTCCTTTCTCAGCTCTAGTAGCTGATCTTTATGATGTTTTGAGTTTGCATTCCACTTATGGAATCCCTGAATTATTCCTGTATTGTTGGCTTTTGAGGCACTAATAATCACTTAATACTGAATTAGCACAGTGATCAATTCTATTTTAACAGGGCTGTGATACCCAGATGATATATGACATGCTGCTAAGGTTGAAATCCATTGTATATTTACCTGGTGACTTTGTCTGCAAAAAGGTGAGACTTATTGTTTTATTCAAATAAGAAAATTCTTGTTTTATTCATATAAGAATTATGTTATGTGTTTTAGAAAATGAGTTCAGATATCGGTCAAAAATGTCCTTTAAATAAACCTAATCCTGACTGAATCAGAAAGCATAAAATTAATTAAGCTACTCTGTGTAATAACAACAAATGTGCTCTCAAATTTCAATCTAGAAAAAGACAATATGGATTTTATTACTTACATTACCAACCATGAAATTACAGTAATATGGGAAAGTATTTAATGTAAATATGGCTTATCTAATGATACCTCATGAAATTTTAATATTTAAAATGGATCAAACATAATGTTTCTATACTTCTATACATACAAACCCAGGCTACAGGTCTCAGTCTATGATGCTCAGTCTGAGCTTCATTTGTGTACTCAGACACACTTGAGTAGAATTATCTATAAATGTAGAAAATACACTGCTCCATAAAGCTCCTTCCAGAAGGAACTGCTCTGCCTTCACACAGCTCTGAGCCATCTCCAGGTTTCCAGCTGAATGCTGTCACACTGTCTCTTAGCAAAGATATCTATCTGTCACAGCTTTTTTTGGCTTAACCCTGGTCAGATGGGTAGTTCACAGGTAAATAGCTCAGCTTCTGACCAGTGAGCCTAAGTCTCCTTCCAGAAGGCATGTAAACACAGGGCAAAGTCAGATGCAATCAAAGCTTGGGGGAATGAATAGTAATCCATACTATACTGCTCTGGCAAGTGACCCACAGGTCCCACCACCTACACAAGTGACCATCAGAACCCCTTAACTTGTCTCTAGCCATTCTGCTCCAACATGCTCACTAAGGTCCTGCTCCCTCCAAGAGTTAAGCATGCAAATCCTCCTCCAGAATGCAGGGCTAGTTCCACTGACTCCACTGTGCAGAAGTTAAACATTTGTGAATACACTGAAGGATCAAGATGTCCTTTCAAAGACCAATCCCAGAATTGCTGTTGGCTAAGAAGAGTGGAAGAGTAGTTTGGTGTGTTTGCTTATAAAATGCACATCATGAAAGGATCTTAGACTACAGCTGGGACTCTGATACAGCAGAGATAATAAAGGACAGGAATAGATTCAATGTCTTGATACTGCAGTCTGATGCAAACAGTTCTTAACAAAGACAGGTTATGAGAAATTAAGCTATCAACTTATTACATCTTGACTCAGAGCTAAAAGGCCTCTCCTTTGTATAAGTCTACTATGTGACCAACAACCATAGAAATCTCATTAATGCTGCAGCATGTATAGAACGTTGGAACCACCTTCCCCCTGGATGTATGCTGGTCTCACCCTACTTCACCCAAGAGATGCTGCATGCAAGCTTGGAGCACCAAGAGAAGAGATAAGAAGTACAAATCCCTTCATTTTCAGTCCTGGCTCTGTTGCTGCTGCTTCTTCACTTTTAAAACTAAATTGCCACTTCATAATAGTGATATACCCTTTGCTCATGAGAGTAGAAAGATATTTAAAGAAGAACCTATCACATTATTCTAATAACAAAATTATTGCTAAAACAGTGTTCTTTATGTGTTGTTATGTCCAGGGAGAGATTGGCAGAGAGATGTACATCATCAAACAGGGTGAAGTTCAAGTCCTTGGAGGCCCTGATGGTACCAAAGTCCTGGTTACACTAAGAGCAGGAGCTGTATTTGGGGAGATCAGGTAGGTCCATCACTTTTAAAAAGTTTTAATACTTTTTTTAGAACTTGTCAAATAATGAGTGGTTGTTTAACTTTTTGTGGTAAGTGTGACTGTGGGGAGGCTAGAAATGGTTAAGATCAACAAAGAGGACACTGAGCAAGGAGAAGCATGTAAGTGAAGGAAAATCTAAGTGAAGTAGCAGTGATTAATAGGGTAAGATCTGAGACCAGTGTTAGAGAGAAATTTCTTCTTTAGCACTTTAAAGATTTAACACATCTCCCTGTTATGCTGTCTGCATTGTCTGTACAATAAGACTAGACGCCCTTAAATGGCAGCTGGCAAAGATGAAAATTAATCTCCAACAAAATGGATACAAAAATCTAAAATAACAATTAAAAATAGTTCATTTAAGAGCGGATTAGATTGCTGAAAATCAGACAACCCAATTTGAAAAAGTATTTATTTAAAAGCATACAAGACAAGAAAAAGGTGGATGGACCCGATTTTTTTGTCTGAATTTATCTAGATGAGAATACTTTTGCTGGTGGTTACAAATGTTTTTATATTCTGCATGTACTTTCTATGCAAAATCCATTAATTCTTGTGTGCTAAGTTCCCCAGTTAGCCAATCAAGTGCTAGTTTTTAGGCACTGCATCCCTCTGTTGAGGTTGGCCCAAGGAAAAGTAATAAAATAAATGTTCTGCTGCATGTGCTAAACTGGATCCTTGGTTTCTTCCAGCTGCCTTCCTGTTATTGTTAATGCTTTTGCTGGTAGCTTTAATCTGCCTTTTGAAAAGCAATAATCAGCTCTGTGCCAGGTTTACATTTGTCCTCTAGTTATGTCTCCCTTTGTAGAAGGGGAAACATTCCTGTTTTTCCAGTGATGTGCTTACAGAACTTGCTCAGACCTCAAGTGGAAAACATCTGATATATCTCAGCTACAGAACTTGTTCATTAAGTGGGAAAGTGAAATTATGTCAGTTCTTTGAGAAGGTTATTTGGAAGGTGTTTTTCTGTGTGACAATATAATTACCTGAGCAAAGCCTCCAAACGAAAGGCTGTATTGTAAGTTATGCAGACAGACTGAGAATGAATTCATCAATAAGGGCTGAATAATGAAGACAGAAGAAAAGCTAAAATAGTCCCCATATGCAACACGCACGTGGTTTTCAATTATTTATTAGTCTAGTATTTGAAGTGAAAACTTTGTATTTTAAACTGAGAAATGATAACTCTTGGTTTCAAAACAAGGAAGGGTTTTTTACACTTTTGATCTAACACAGGTGAGAGCTTGTTTCCATGTGAGAACCACACAATGACCTTTTAAGATTAATTTCCCAGTACGTGTTACTCTTTACATAATTGCCAATATGGCCAGCAAAATCTTCAGCAACACTATAACACTAAGTGTAGTGTTCTAGTCTTGTTTTATTAATCACTGACCTACTGCAGCAGCAAACCCATTCAGACATGTGTAATTTGCATATAAAATATCAGGCAGTGGATAAACTCAATGAGAAAAAAACCACAGCAACTGGCAGACATGATGCACTGAGTTTATCAGCATAGATATGCTCTTCCTAGCGGCAAGGTGCTAGAAAATAATGAGTTTGTATTCTGCCTTTGTATATAAATTTTTTCAAGGTCTTCTGAATAGAGAATACCACAGGCAAATGGAAAAGAATATTCTTTAATGGATTACGTACTACTTTTTCTAGGACATCCAAGTTTTCCTCTCACTTCATAATGGTTATAAACCTGATACCAGGCTGATTTCCTTCTGATTTTCAATTCAAGATTTGTTTGGAGAATTATGTCAGCTTCCTTCTGAGTGTTTTAGGTACATGATTTATAAAATGCTTGCTATTTAATCCAACTCTGTTCAAAATGCATGGCAATGGTGCTTAAAAGTCTCCAGGAGCAAAGGAATTGAAGAAAATAAAAACTGTTTATTTCCAAAAAATTCCCTTAATTATACTAGAAAGCCAATGTGAGAGTAATAGTCAAACATGTCCCTTGCCAATTTCATCCTTGAAAATTATTACAGAAAGGGATTAAGTAATAGGAGTTCTACTTAGCATTTTATCTTCATTGCAACTTTCCTGTATAGATATCAGTTTAGGGAAGTAAAATAATTTCAGAATCAGAAGCAAACAGATTGTTGTCTTAATGAGAGCCCATCAGCAAAGACAATTCAGAACAAGAGAAATTCAGTTATAACTATTTCACTAGCCCAGAGAAGGCTACACTTCAAGCTAGATGTCCTCATTCATCCATTTACTGGTATCTCACTAGAGCTATTTCCTATCAGAAAATGTTAATTCTGGAAAAACAAATAATTTCTCCATTTTATGTAAATTTTTGACTGGAAGATCTCTAAATGTTTCCTCTCAGCATCAACTTTCAGCTGTTTTGTAATTTTAAACTTTAGATAAAAAATCCAAACTATGGGGACTATTTCATTTTGTGAAAGATGACATTTTCCAGTACTTTGGTCCAGGATTTCCCTCAAAGTAGCAGCTGCTGTTTTTGATGGGCTCTGCCCTTTGGAGTTTGATATCCTTATCAGAAGCAAGATCCAGACCTATTTCCCTTTCCTGACTTACCAGTTTTCCTCATATGCATATTGGTGCCCAGCTGAGCCACCACAACCCTGCATGCTAAGTTGATAACACAAACCATTCCCCAATTTCTGTTAGCAGCAGCTTCCCACAGAGATCAGCTATAAAAACGATAGATAAACTGAGTCATCACTTTGACAGCTTTATAGCTTGAAATTTAATTTGCTAGCATAGGAATTCTAAGGCTATCAATTTCTAATATTATTACAGCATTTCACGCTCACAACTGGAGTAAAAAAATGTTAGGTAAAAAAAGCAAATTTTGTGATTAATATAGATATTGCATTACCGAGAACCCCTGCAAGGCAAACGTATCTCTTTTAAAAAATTTGGTCATTTAACTCTTCACACACTAGCCAAACCAGATTGAATGCTGAAGTACCATAACTTTGTCCTCAGTCAAAGATGATTCTGTTTGTGCAAAGACTGTCTTACTTGTAAAATTCACCTCACATCATCACCATGATGAAAAAGCTGATCTCTTTAGTCCCTCTCTACCTTGATAAAATAAGCTTTCTGTTAGGAAAGCTTCAAAATGATTGTTCAATGACTTGTTGAGAAGTGATTCATCAGGGCTCAAAAGGTATTTGCAATTTTCTTCAGCTTTTCTTTTTCTTCAGCTTTTCCTATTGCGTAAAGAGGACTCATAGAGAATTGTTTAAAAAGATAATAAACTGCATTTTTAGCTTCAGTTTATGTATTGATTGCTGTCTTGAGTTGCAGAAAAACACTCTGTGGACATGTAAAACTAGCTTTGCACACACAGTTGCAGAGGCCTCCTAGTATCATTTATAAACTAAATATATTATCTATATTATTCAATAGTTATAAATATGTTTCATAAATATCTTTAATATTAAAACAAATATATATAGTTGATCATTACTTCAGATGGGTATAAATTCCTGTTTAATGTAGTTCAGAACATCTTTTTAATATTTTTTATATTTAGATAATACTAAATTCTCTCTAAAAATATTAATTCACTGGGAAATCTTTAAAGGACAAATTTTGGCGTAGATATTGAATAAAGTAATAGAGCAATTTTAACACTAAGAACAAAATGCAAATTCTCTTACTTACCAGCAGAGCGATAATTAAGAGACAAATGAAGTCTCTTAATTGCTTGGTGCAGGATGAACAATTTATTTTTATATGTACATCTAATTTTTTCTTACATGTCCTCCCTCCAGCCCGCTACTGCTAGCTAAACTGGTCTAATGCCTTACATTCAAAACAAAAGAGCCTTCTTTTTCTGGCAGACACATTTGTAACTGTCAGCCTGAAAGACCTTCCTAAAGTGTACCATTCAACTTGCCAACATTTAAACGTGAGATGTACTATGTGAGAAAACCAAAAACTAGAGCCTCACAGAAGTTATTCACTCAGGAAAAAAATCCTTGGGGGAGAATCATTGATTCACTGTAAATAATGCTGCTCTACTACTGATGCAAATAATTTTCAGCAATAAAACTGAGGATATGCCAACTTCATACGAGAACTAAAACAAGTACAGTCTGAGCTGTATCTCTATTAGCAAAACTTCTCACAGTCCTTAGCATCTACATATGCCTGGCCACCAGTGACAGTTCCTTCCTGAGACAGAATGTCTAATTCCATCTGCACAGGGCCTTTACAGAACAGTGGATAGAACAGCCAGGTCCATACTGAGCTTTGCAATGACTTTAATGGAGAAGCACCAGCAGAGATCCCTTCACTAGGGCAAGTAACGCTGTGACTGATGGTGTTTATTTTCATTCCAGCCTACTAGCTGCAGGTGGAGGAAATCGAAGGACTGCCAATGTGGTGGCTCATGGTTTTGCCAACCTTTTCATTCTGGACAAGAAAACACTCAATGAAATTTTGGTGAACTATCCGGACTCAGAAAAACTTCTCATGAAGAAAGCAAAGTATGTCCCAATAACAGTTTTTTAAACCATATCATTTAGCTTCAGGATGGACAGTTGTGACTTATAGACAATTTGCATTCCTTTCTTGGAAAAGTAACAGCTGTAAACACGTTTGGTGTAAGGGGTCAGATTCGCCTGGTACTTTCTAATTGAAAGTATGGTCTTGGGAAGAATCCCAAGGGTTATGGAAATGTGGTAAGTAGGATGAAATCCTGAATGTAGTTGCCTTATTATATGTAAGGTAACATCAATAAAAGAAATAGGAGATAAGGATACATATCAGGACTTCTTACATCATCAAGAAAGAGACTGCAGGACAGGTATCGGTTAAGGAATAGGTTTTCAAAGATGCAACAAAACATTTGCAATTAATTCTACAGAGATGCTTTAGTGCATCCACAGACTTGTATGCATTTCCAAAACCTTAGGCAGCAGTTAGGAATGGATTTAAAGTAGGGCCTGACAAGATAGAACTACACAGATTAGACACCTGTGCATTTTATTCAAAAGCATTCTGAAACGAGACTTCAAACCATTTTCACCTTCCTCTGTTTGTAGCTTGCTAGGATCACCATTCTCACAGCTTTGAAAAGACAAAGTATTGTCAGATTTTAGCATAAAATTATGACAAAATTAGTACCTTGCTACCTTGTAAAAGGTCCAAATATTTGAAACAGTTTTTCATTATTAGTATACTTCAGAATCTATAGGTCCCTACTGTTGCCTCAAATTGCTATCAAAGTTTGGAAGGTTGGTTGCAGACTTGAAATTCCCCCAGAGAAGACTAAACATAGCACAGGAGAGACATTTTGTTTTTCAGAAGTGCTAGCAAATGGCTGCATTCATCATAGTCAAACAACAGTATCTTGAGAATCATGATGCCCCTGAGGAACAAGGAAACCAGACACAGAATGGGCTGACTGTTCAGTTTTCAAAACTAGTATTAACGGGTAGAAAAGGGGAACAAATGTATGGACCAGTGATCCCCAGCAACAATCATTCCTGACTTTTTTCCAACTTCTATCTAAACAGTAGTATGATCTTGTTATTCCTGTCTCTCTGTCCCACACTGCCTCTTCTGCTTTCTTGCCCACTCTAGGCATGTTCTGCCCATTCATTAAATTCTGCTTCCCCTAGACAGCCTTTCTCAACTGTGGTGCTTAATCATACACCTTTTGTATCTGCACTCCCATTTGAGCTCCAAGACCTCTCTAGATATGAGACTAAAAACAAGATACTGTTTAATGTTGAAGAGATGCAGTACCTGCGCTGTGCAGGAGGCCATGTTGCTTACCAGTCTACACATCCATAAATTCTGCCACAACTAGGCACAAAGAGGAAATTTGTGCACTGTTTTCATAAAGATGGTGGTTATGTTCAATTTTGGAATAAAGTTACCAGTTGTTCTGCCCTAGAAGAGTTCTTTTTGGTCATGTGACACACTTAAAGGGCTCTTTGAAATAAACTGAAAGGATTTATTCAATAAAGAAATTTGTTCTATTATCACCTGCCCAATAACCCCTGTATGTTTTTTGCATAATAAAGCCATGCAAGCTGCTAAAGTATACCTTTTTAAATTTGTGGCAATTCAACAAAACAAAACAAACAAACAAATAAAAAAGAGCAAACCCTTAACTTCTGAAATTCCCAAAGTACAAGATGCTGGAGAAAATTATAGTATTATGGGACTTACTGTACTTCAGACTGCGAATATAGTCCTCACTCATAAAAAGCCTTAAGTCAGGGCTTTTGCAAAGATAGAAAAGTGGGCTTGAAATCTGTACAGTAATCTAATAGAAACTGAAAGCATGAGAACCCTCTGCTTTTTACTGGTCCCATCTGTCTCAGATCTTTCATCTAATCTTTACCCTCATTATTCATTCTCAGTTCTTGTCATTATGGCTGCAAATCACTACAGCTACTGAACGGTTTGAAAATTTACTCTGCCACAAGGCTGGCAGTAGTGTTTGTATTGTCAGGGTGTCTTCTACTGAAGAGGACTAAAAATAAGTACCACTGTCTAACCTGACCTGTGAGAGATGACCCATGCTGGAAGTTAGTTTGGCAAAGTATTTCCTCCCAAAGTGCCAACTGGAGTTCTGGTGGAGCACCAAATGCTCTCTGAATGTGAATCCAGAAGACCAGATAAGAGATTGCCACCTCAGGATGGGGCACCCATCCCCCTCCACACCTCTTCTTTCCTTATCTTTCTCTTTGATCTGTTTTGTGACACCTTAACTTGAGCCAGCCCTTGTTTATACTCCAGGGTATAGCTAAGCAACTCCAGATTTGAACAGCTGCCTCCATCTCTACCAAAGCCTCGGACAAAACTTTTACTGTTTCTAATTCTGCTCTTGTCACTTGACCTGGGAACCAAGTAAGAGCCATCAGATCTTCATGCATAATTGTATATGCATGTATAACTTCACTCAGTTTCACAGCACTGCTGTATGTTCTTATGACCTTCTTTCTTCAGGGTGCTGCTGAAGCAGAAGGGGAAACCTCCTCCAGGACCACCAGTGCCACAACCACGGGGCTTGGCCAGTCTCTTTGGGCAGAAACAGGAAACTCCAAAATTGTTTAAAGCAATGCTTGGAGGAAAAGGAAAAGAAGGCCTTGCTAAGCTGCTGCAGCTGAAGAAACAACAAGAAACTCAGGTAAAGCCATAGAAAAGAGAGTAGATGAAAATTTACCCTTGCTGCAATGAACAGCAAAAACTCCCAGTAGCTGAGATATAACCACTTTTCCTAATCTCTGTAAACACTAATTCTAAAATGTGGCTTGATCTTTCTGAACCTGGACTTTATGCAGACCAGAGAAAGCAAAAGCAAGGAAAAAAGTAAGCAAACAAAAATCCTCTAAGAAAGTAAGGATAAATGGATTTTACAAAGGCCTTAAGGGCATCTGATCTTCTAATTTTATGTAAACAACAGTAAACAGAGAAATACCTAAACACTGTAACCTGATCCAGCTGACTCGGGCACATGGCAAACTTTCCAATTCAGTGTCATCTCTGGTTGTTAAAAATCCTGAAGACAAAATATAGTGTAGCCCACACAGCGAAAACTGATTAAATCTCTAATACCTTGCACTTATGAGAAAACTGTTGTTTTGACTGATGAAAAATAATTCCCACATAATGCTCTGTTCTGAGAAATGTTAATATCAACAAGAACCTTCTACATATTTTCCCAAAGGTGGAAGAATTCTTTTTTTTTTTATAGCTGAAATAGCTGTGGTTATATTTAAGTTAAATAAAGAACTTTGCACTTTGCTCACACAAATGACTATAAGAATAAAATTGGAGCAGAAATACTGCTCATTTTAGTGTGTATTTGTGAACTTATTAGCAAATAGGCTTGGCCAAGGAATGGGGCAAGTGTGAAGTATGTCAAGCCTTACGTAACATTCTTTCTCCACTAGTTTAAGGACATAAAGGAAGGCAAGACCTAAGGAAGGGTTCTGTGCCCCAAAACAAGTCTGTTTCATCCCCCTATGCAGAATAGGGGGATGAAAGCAAGAAGCAGATATTATTAATATCCACAGTTGTTTCCTAGGTTTTATACTGATATTCTGATTCTGAAATTGCATTTTTCATTTAGAAGCCAATTTTCAGCATTTGAATAGAAATTTACATGTGTTGCATACCATTAATACAGTTGTCATGCTGTGCCTTTCCATGCTATGTACTGAATAGAACTACTTCCTGAATTTCTTTTGCAATATTGGAAAACATTAAACTTCTTGTTTCTAGGAAACTCAACCTGAAACAGAGACCAAGCCTAAAGAAGAAGAGAAGAAACCTGTGGCACCTGCAGCCCCCTCTGCAGCCCCTGCTCAAAAGGAAAAGCCACAGGCAGATGCTAAGCCTGCAGTTATGCAGAGAACAACCAGTAAGGAGTCTCTGATCATTAGTATGACTCCATCCCCCAGAGCAGGAGAAGGAGAGATACTTAAAGTTGAAATTAAAGAGAAAGAAAAGAAATAGATGGTGCTTTGGGGTGTGGCCCCATCTATTTGTCTTGCTACATTCAGAAGGCTGGCCGGACTTTGCTTTTGAGTATAGAATATAGAAGCAGAGACTACATGTGAGAAAAATCTACTCCAGCTCCTTGTCTTCCTGCCCTCCTTTACTGGCACAACTGCACAAATTATATATGTTCTTAACCTTGACACTGAAGAGAGAACTTTTGGTGTATTAGAAATTATGGCTCAGATTGTATTTCACAACTACTTGTTTCTTGTTTTATTCCTCTTACTCTGTGTTGTTCCTACTTCTCTTCCCTTTCCGCTTTCTCCTTGCTTTCTTCCTGTTGTTCCTGTTGCTCAGTTTGCTTTTGTGTGTATTCTTTTCTGTTTTCTGCTCTGCCTTCACATAGTTATCCTTTTCCTTGCTACTGCCCTACTGTTGCTAATGTTCCTTATGTTTCTCTCTATCCTTCTCCCTCCTCCCCTTATGCTTCTAATCGGTGACCTGGGTTTGTGACCAGTGTGGCTCACAGCACTCAGCAGGTGCTATGTGTTGGGATGTTTTACCTCGGGACAGAGGGCAACATAACAAAACCATTGTCAAAAATAAATCCCAAAATCTGCAAAAGGGAAACAGATCATAGAATTATTGTCAGCCCTATGAAAGCATAAGCATCTGCTCCAGCTGTCTTTGATTCTAGCAAATCAACTAAAGACTTAGTACACCCTCCAGAAGTGATGTATAATTTTGGGCTGCCGATTTACTTGCTTCATCTTGTCAAGGGGTTGGGCATGCTCTCTGTTACATCTCATCAAGTAAGCACTTGATACCTCTGTCTGAAGAACCTTAGTATCTAAACCAGCTTCATAAATAAAAGCAATTTTATAAAAAGCAGGATTTACTCTTTCTGGCTCTGCATTGCTAAATTACAACCAATTGTTCATCTACATAATAGACTGATGGTGCAAAGAGCAACCTGTGTCTCTGTGTCTTAGCTACATCACACTTGTGAACTACTACTTGTTTACTACAGTAAATCCTTCATGAGTGCCACTGCTGGGGGATACAGCCACCCATGCAGGAACTCCCACGATGCCAACTTTCTGCATCAACTCTTCAGTCTCAGATGCAGTATTACACAAAAGCTTGAAGCTGTGTTTTATGCTAAACTCCCAGCTACTTTCTTTTCTTCTATGTGTTTGCATGTCCTCTCTCTCTGGATGAACAGCTTTGTAAACTAAAAACATTATGCAGAGGCCAAGCCAAGAAGTGGCAAAGGCAGGCTTTACATCTCCTTGGCTGACCAGCCAACCAAGGCACCATGCCAAAATAAAACACTCACTTTGCAGGCTATGTATGACCCTACAGGCTATGCATTCTGTAGGCCTGTTCTTTAAAGCCTTTCAATTTCTGTAATCACAGGCAAAACTAGAAGCCTAACCAGAATCAGTGGGAAGTTTGCCCAAGTAAAAGCTGGATGACTGAATTCAGTATGTTGCATATTCCACAATCCTCTGATGAGATGAAAACCATAATCTCTATCAAAGTAAAGTTTTGCTGCATTAGCAGTGAGGTGAAGGTTCAACTGCTTTGTGGAGAGAACCATCTTTATTTGTATGCTACTTGTTATTTGATATGTAAGAAAAAATGACATCACAACAGATGGAGAAAATTTTAAATTGTTTCATATAGAATTATTCATCTATAGCACATCCAGGACTGTCTCAATGAAATCTCAAGATTAGAAATGCTGCTGAGCTGTTCCACGAATAAGACCTTCTATGAATAATAATACTCTATGAATTACAATATATAGTTTCACATCTTTTTTTTTTTTTAGAGAGTTGTCAAAGCATTATGGAAGGGGGGAAAACATTCCCCATATTTTAACATTTTTATATGAACGAGTAAAGCTTGCTCACATTGAAAAGAACCAATTCCCTTCTGCCTACACAAATGCTACCAGGTAATTTTGAACATTTTCTCTGTGGGCATATTTAAGTTCATCAATCACATACTGACATAAATTACAAAGTAAAAACTGAGACTGCAGCACCAAGTGCTTCACTGCAGTGACAAAGCTTCCCCCAAATTGCTGCTTTGCTACAGCTTTTAACAGCCCAGGTTTGCATAAAAGTTTGACAGTTCTGTCTGCAAGACTACTGTTAGCACAGCTCTTACGTTCCTTAGACCCAAAACAAACTAGGGGAAGTATCAGTGCAGAAGACAGTGGCTATACATAAATAATATCCATCTGGTTTTCTGTGACATCCTACTTTTTTTATTGTTGGGCTATTATCCTCTTTCCACAATTCCTCCATTCTTAGGGTTGGCAGGCACAAGAAGGCTGCACAAATGGAAGTTGCAACTATTTGTATGGCTTTCACCAGACAGAATTTTATGAGAAAGGTGTTTATTTACTACAAGTGTTTATTTATTGCATCTTACAAGATGTAAGATGCAATAAATTCTTTCAGGAACTAATTCTACCTTGTAGATTCTTGACTAGTGAAGAAGCATGAATTAATGAAGAAGAATTAATTACTTTGGTGCACTTAGAAGATGCAGTTTCCAGTATGACAGTTGTCTCTGTGTGGCATCACATTCCATTACAACACCATCTCCTGTATCTCAGTGTACTGAGTCCCTCAGACTTGACTACACTTGAATATAAAGAAACTGAAGGATAGAGTAGGATAATGTATTTGAAAATGACAAGTGACCATCTCTCTATGCCTCTCTAACTAAAATGTAGAGATTGTTCTGGGAAAAAAATTTTGGAAAACCTGATAATAACTGTATGCATGGGAGAACCCTTAATGACACAGAGCATGAAACAGTCATAGTTAAAACTGTCCAACTTCAGAATATCTTCTTGCTAGAAGCCTGTTTAAGGTGCTTTATGAAGAATAAACTGCAGAGTCATTACCACTAAGTAGAAAGGCATTTTTCCTCTCCCTTTTATACTTGTTATAAATCTGTGGCATACTCACCATAGTAATCACAAAAGCAGCATTTAGCATTACACAGCATTAGCATTATAAGCTGAATATTATTATCATTAGCATTATAAGCTGAATACAAAAGCACCACAGAACAGTATACTGAAATGATAATTTTAATGCACAGGAACTGTAAATCAGTTAACTTCGTCAGAACTGAAATACATATAAAAGTAAAAAATTTTGGTTACAGGTGAGCTCTCTTTTGTACACATGTATATATTATGACCAATACACAGCAAAAAGTGTCTGATGACAAAGACTGCCATACATGACTTTTATCACAAGGTGGTGCCAGTGACCTATGAGCACATTCACATTACAAAACTTGGACAATATTTTGCTTTGCACCCGTGAGCTATTAGTGCATTTTTTACACATTAAAATAAACAAAAAATGGCAAACAGCACAGTAACTCCCCTTCCCCTTGACTCACAATCTGCTACATTTCTTCATTCAGAATATCACCAGCCTACCCTGGAAGTTTTCAACAGGCATTAGCTGTACACCTCTAAGTCATACCAGTTCTTGCCACGGTCCTGTCTGAAATATTTAATTTTCAAAGAATAGGACACACTGGGAATGAGGTGCTGCTGATATGCTATTTAACTCCCTAAGCTTGAGGAATATGGGAGCAATTCTCTAATAAGAGATAATAAAACCTCTACTGTAGGAACTCAGAATTTATGTATAGAATACAGACAAAACAACATGTTTTCTTTTACATGCAGCAGATACTTAGTATAATAATACATAATAACATATTTAAATGCACTTACAATTCTGCTTTAAGCTGCCATGGAACACACAACTCAGGTGCAGCATTATATTTTTGGCAGACAGCTCAGAGGAACTTCAGTAGTAACCTGTACTCCTATCAGTAGCATACATCCACTACAATTAATGCAGATAAAGCATTAATACTGCATCCAGTTCTCTCTGTACATGAAGCAGGTAGCTGTGAAACAGTTTACTCTTCCAAAATCATACACTCTTAATTTGCAGCAGTGTGATTTAGGTTTATTATAGTAACTTCCTTGATTTCAGTATTTTGAGTTGTATATATGATATAACACTTCATTGTAATTTATACATAAAGTAGTAACAGATTTTCACTACACTGATAAAAAGATTATTACAGATTTTTTTTTACATAAATATATGAATTACATTTTAAAAAAAGAAAGAGCTTGGCTTAACATAAAACAAACTCTCTTCCTTAATGTTACACTACTTGATAGTATTTAGGATCCCCTTCCACCGAGAAAAATTGAGATAATATATCCATGTATGATTGATTGATAATTGTCAATTGTCTACAAAGCATTTGGTATGTCTTGTGTAAGATAATCTCAATAGATATATCCTTCATCCGTCAATGTTCATGTGAATTCAGACTCTCAACAGGATTACACATGTAAAAAAAAAAAAAAAACCCAAATAAACCACCCCTAGAAACCCCCCAACAACAAACAAAAAACAAAAACAAAAACCACAACAACAACAAAAACAACACCCAAAAGCATACAAAGCAGCTCCAGTATCTAAAAGTCAAATACACTATGACCTGGTGAAATCTTGCGTGTCCAAGTGTGCTAAATTTAGCATTAGCCCATTCTGTTCTTACATACTACAGCCAGATCATCCACATGAGATAAGTTGGATGTCTAACTCTAAACCACTCCAAAGGTGAAACTGAAAAATTAATGTTCAAGATTGGCATTTCAGAAGTGATAAATGTGACCTTTCCATCCACTTAAGTTACACACAGTGACAGGATTGGAAGAGATCCTCAGCAAGCAGTATGCAGCTGGGGGTCAAAAAACCTTCATTTGTCCACTAAGCAAACATGATTTACACTTGGTATAAAACATGAAGGGAAAACTCAACCCCCATAAATAAATCAGAATTTTTTTTGCCCCAAAGAAATGCAGTATGATTATAGGATTAGGGCTTCATAGACTTTACTTTCTTATGTCTTCCTAAAGGGAGAGAAAGACGGAATATAGTTTTTTT